TAATTTGATCCAATTAAGAGTTTGTTTTCTCCCCGATTTGTGAAAAAAAAAAATTCTCAAAAATGAATATTATTTTCAAAATCTGCGTAGCTGAATTATGGAAAATCCGTTATTAAAACCAAAACATCTTTTATGAAGTTTAAATTCGCAGGCCTGTGTAATCTCTAATCATCACAAAATTTCCAGGTGATAACAGTTAAAGCCCAAACCAACTCTTTGTATAGTTTATACAAGGTTTTGGGCCAAACACGAAGTTAAAGCTGTTTTAATGATACAGTTTTCTAGTAGTGTTAGTGGCGATTAACCAAACTTTACAAAGGTTACTAAAATCAATATCTAGACCTTGATTATCCAACGAATCAAAATCTGTTTGAATGAGTAATATTTTTGTATCGAAGTGAAGTAGCTCGGCAAATATAGGTAACTTAGTTGTTGTTCTTGTTTTTAACGCTAAGCTATACAATGAATCATTTTTTACTCTGTACACTCTGGGCATTGCCGGAATTAGGTATTAGGACACCGAGATCGTGTCCTTGTTATTGTTGTTTTTTGTTCTTCCTTCACTCATTCAGACATATATATATATATATATATATATATATAACTGAAAGTTTAGTTTGACCGTAATAGAATAATTAACTATGTTTACAGCGCTTACTGCAGGGGTCACCAGTGGCGCAGCGACATGTCTGTAAATTTATAACGCTAGAAACCGTGTTTCGATACTCGTGGTGGGCAGAGCACAGATAGTCCATCGTGTAGCTTTGTGCTTAACTATAAACAACAACAACTTACTGCAGGAACACGAACCCAAGAATTTAGTATTGTAAGTCCGTAAACTTAGCGCTGATCGATTGAGAGACTAGGTAACTTTAAAACGTAAATGTGAATTTGCTTTTTATTTGTTCTCATTTGTGTTATATTTTTAATCATCGTGCATTTCCCAGTTTCCAACTTTGAATATATATATATTTTTATTCATATATTATTTATTTACTGTATGCCTACTATTAGGTCGTCATGAAATTAATGTCGCTTATTTTAGATGAAAAAACCGAACAACTTATTATATCAAAACAAAACATTTATTAAATGAAAT